GTAATCTTAGTAATAATATCTTAAGATAAAATATCTCTCTTTTAGTCTTGTCCTTACTATTTAAAGTATTTGGTCAACTTATGTCTCTAATTTTAGGATTCGTTCTGAGATAACAAAAAAGAAAAAAATTCCTGTACCAGCATATAATGTAATAGTGCTGTGGAAAAAAAGGCCTAGGCAGCTTTTTTCTGTTTACTTCACATTATTTTCTTTGTGTCTTCCTATACTTTATTTTTACCTTTTATCTTTTTGCTGGCCATTCCTGTCTAATTTCAAAAGGCTTTTTTTAGCCTATAAACTTTTAGCTGTGACCTGAATAGTCTCCTTTTCAGTCAACCTTTTGAGACTGAAATCTTTCCTGTCACTATGAAAAGCTTTGAACAAATACAGTTCTGACTTAACTATCCAAATCAACATTAACATTGCTCAAATTGTGTCACTCATTATATAACCCTAGGTGTGGAAACTATGCCAAAGCTTCCAAGGCATTTTGCAAACATTCCAAATGTACTGCAGACCAGATATTCATGTTGAGAGTTGAATCCTTCAGCACCAAAATTATTATATGCTTTGCTTTCCATGACCGGTGTGCGAATGGACAGTAATAGTAACTGATTCACATAACTAGAATAATATTATAATTAAATATTCTACTGTATGATTTTTGCTCATAGGATCTGATTTAATTTCTGTGAGAAACGCTCTTTTCCTATCAGTGGGCTGTGCAACAGACTCACAGTGTTTCAGATCCGCTGAGCTTAAAAAAGAGGTTTCTGACAGAGCAACAGGCATCAGTATCGTTCTTTCATAGCCCAAATAATAGTCAAAGAAAACGTGAAGTATACTAACTCACTGAAAATGAATATGGCATACTAGGAGGGATTAATTGCTAAAACCAGTGCTGTCTTTGTCACTTACTTCTCTCTCCCCTAACCTGCATGCACGCAGCTTTAAAATGATGATAAGCCAGTTTCGCAAGTCTTTGAGCTTTCACTAACAGTGTTTGGGTACCTGGGCTGAGGATAGCAAACTGATATTCAGTCCTACTATCACCATATGGTTGAAACAACCAACCCATTTGGAGCCTTATTACAAACAGGATGCTTTGGGACTGAGTTTCTTATTATTAGAAACACATGCATGTAACTATTAAGTATGTTTTCACTTAGGCCATGTCAAACTATCAGTGATTACCATTAACACTACTGCAAATTGACTGATGAAGCACCATTTAAATCTGATTAAAAACCAAAATCAAAACCAAACAACAGAACAACTGAACAAAAAAAAACTTGCAGAAATCTTTCAATAATGAAAGAAGATAAATTTAGTATTAACCAAAAAGAGAAACTACTAAGTCTTGCTATAATGTTAATATTATTTAAAAAAAAAACCACAAGTAGATTGTTAATTTGAATTTATGTCTGTTCAAAGGAGTAAGAATGAAGCAGAAACCCTCTTCTTTTTCTCTTACAGGCTACGCTGTATATCTTTCAAACAACTAGGCAAAGAGTACCACCAAAAAACCTTGCTCATAATTAAAACCAGCAGCAAAACAATTTTGGCTAGAACAGAAAGTGTTAAAATGTTAAAGAAATAATTGTAGTTAGGATTATAATCTTCAGATACTTTGCTATGACAGTAATAATTTAATAGGCTTTTCACTGAAATACTGTTTGCCTTGCTTGCGGTGCTTCTTTTAGATGAAGTCCTTTCTCCTTCCTACCTCTCAGACATTATCTTTGTATCTGTTTTTTTAAACACTAGATTTACCCAGGCCTGTTGCATACCACTGTTTTGGTTTTATGGTTCTTTAGCTCTTTCAGATACAGTCTATATAGGGTTACAAAATTATGCTGTAGTATTTTGGGTTTATTTAGTTTTGAACTGCTGAGAAATGGCATTTTAAGCTCATCAGGACTTGTTACAAAACCCAAGCAGGAGTTACCTGTTACATACATTTACCTCTTGACTGTTGATTGTGCTCTTAATTAAATGTAATAAAACCCAAAACATCTATGCCATTACCCAATTAAACTAATCAGTAGACATTTACCACTGGAAACAAATAAGATTTCTTTGAAATATTTAACTACTATTACATTAAACAGTTTTACATTTTTATTATATGTATTTATGTTTCTGACAACATGAACATTTATAATCACTCTCTACAGTAATCAGTACCTCTATGGGGAAAACATTGAGTTCTTCAATGACGTCCATCACAGCAAACTATTTCATTTTTTTTTCCCATTAATCCATAATATGGTAAACTGTTCAGCAGTAGTGCTAAGTAAAATACCAGTACCTCACCACTTTATGTCCCCTAATATAGCTATGGTCATTGCCTAATTTGCAACAATTTTTTTCGTTAATATTTTCCCATTAAAATAATACATTAAAATGCCATGTGAAATCCACAGGGAGAAAAAGAATACAGAATGAGCCAGTATTTTTATGGTTGAAAATAATTCCATCACAGCAGATCATGAAGATCTGAACACAGTTCTATTTACAGTAACACTGCACCCATTTTTAAGCATTAGAGTTACACTGCCCATTTAAAAAATGGGTAACATATGAAAATGTGGGGACAGCAGTAAATTTACAGTTTTGTCATACACTGCACATAGGGACTTTGTGTCTTTTACTTCAGAGGATTTCAATGTGAGCTATCACACTGCTCAGTAGTTGCGATTTACCCTGCCTCATAGGTAATGTTCATGTTTTGAATGTGTATTAATAAGAAAATAGTAACCCAGTGCACATATATACACAGAATGATAAAAGCTTTGCTGGTTAACCACAAATCTTATTTTTATCTCATTTAACTAATGGCATATGGAATTTTCTGAAAGGCATATGGTACTAATTAAACATGGAACAAGTCCCGCAGATAGTCAATATAGCCATGAGGTATCCAAGGAATGTTTCCCTTCAGTGTACATTATCTATGTATTGATTCGATGGTCTGAATGCATAAAAGCCCTGGAAACTAACAATGTTTAATGATGTGGGAACTGCATTTCTATTCTCATCTACATGAATGCTGCAGTTGCTGAGGAAAATTCTGAGATACTTAATGAACAGACAAATTATGAACTAACCAGGACCAGTTTATTTTCATTCATTCATTAACCACTGATTTTGATATTTATTTTTAACATTTGTTTTTACATTTAGAGCACTGTTCTGTGACTCTACATGCCAGAGAGCATGAAGTTAAAGATGTTGTCCTTTTTTAAAAAAAATAGAAACAATAATCTAGATACCATACATTTTAAAGACATAAACAAACTTCTAAATTGTATGGTAAAAATTATTTAGTTTGAAAATTCTAATCTACATAATGTGTATAAATACACTTTCTTGTACTTGACACCAGCTGATTAAAATATTTGTTCTACTACTAGTCTTAGATATGGGTTATTAACCTTAAATGTGAGTCCACTTGTATATAATTTTCATTCTCTTTTCAAATCAAGGATATCAGCTTCCTCTAGCATACTGAAGGTCAACCACTGAAAAAATTAAGAAAATATATACTGTGTTTGTTCTGATTCATACAAACAGCAGCAGTGAATTCTCACAGTCATTATCTGCCTACTTACAATATCCTAAGCAAAATAAAAATTAAAGTAGCAGAGTTCTCTGAGCTAATGGGAAAATGGTGAATGACCTTACGTTGCCCAGAATATTTCCATGCAAAATGACAGGGTCTCAACTCCACTATATCTAGCATAAGTGGGTTATTTTTATTGAGACACTTTTCGAGCAGTAACAGAGCAGCAGTTTGTGTTCTGAAAGGCAGCACTGACTCTTTTGTAGTTCCAGTAAATTTCATAGTAGTAAAAATGACAGTACAATTTCATATAGTGCTCTGAATTGGCCAACTTACTAAATCTACCATCACCACTAACAGAAAACTGCTTCCTAGTGCTCCAACTGTTAAATATGCCCCCTGCTTTTGCTAATGAGACTAGAAAAAAAAACAGTGAGAGTTAAGCAACAAGGCTGTCACTCAGTTTTACAGCATCCTGATGCAAAGTCACACTATGACTTTTATACCCAAGGAGATTAAAAATAGACCTGTAATCTTATTAACACTTAAAATACAAAAGCCACTCAGCAAATAAAACACAGTGACTGAAGAATGAATTCTGGACAATAACGTTATTTTCACACTTTCTGCACACTGTGCTGGAAGGTGCAACCACAGTCTTACCTGACTACAAAAACACCACACATACCCATCTCTCAAAGGCTCTAATTTAACAGGTCATTTCAAAATCCTTTCAAAGCATATGGAAATACTGCTCTGTAAACTTAGGATTTTCTGCTCTTGACATGCTGTATCAATGAACTGAAAACAGCAATAACGTTTAAGGTGGCTGAACTCTCATTATGTAAAAGAAGCTGCATTTTCCTGCTCTACTCACAACAGTATTTCTATTTATGGAACACGGTAAGAACTGCGCTCTGTGCCTTACTGCTCTAAGATTTCAAATGTAATTTCACTATAAAAACACACATGTCCTTAGAGGTATTTTCAAACTGAAATATCATGCAAGAGTAACAGTTCTTCACTCATCAAGGAGTCTTTCTTTCCTCCTGTATATTGCACCAGACATATTGAAAGCCTATGTATCCACGATATATACAGCATGCTAGATAACACTGAAAACCTAAATTCAGAAGAAGGGGAAAAAAAACAGCCCCAAAACAAAAAGTAAGAAAACCAGCTTTTAGCTTAGGAACAGAAATTTTACATAACTGCAGAACATTATCTGACAAAGAATCTATTTGCAGGTTTGCTCTAATTTAACAAATTAACACAGCTTCCCAACCTTGCCTTCCTGCATTTACCTACCACGCATTATGCACAAAAAAAAAAGGAAAATAGAAATAGAGATCCTTTCAGCCTGTCTAGCCTGTCATCAAAACCAGCAGAAAATTTTTCATTGATAAAAACAGAGAATGGAAGAAATCAGACCAACCTTCACAATGTACGTCACACCGGGTCCCAGGATCTTCTCACTCGAGTGCAGCCATCCTCGAGGGGGTTTATTGACAAAGCTGCTACTTTGATTCCAGTCTTCACCTCCCAGGTGCATTTCCTCTGATTGTGGTTTTTTCCCCATACTCATCTTGCTCACGTCCTGCTGAGAACACGAAGTGGCAGAGACAAGGTTACATGTGTTGTCTGAAGCCCCTGCTGCTGAACTAGAAGCACTTGAGCTTCCTTGCAACTTGGAGACAGCAAGCTCCTTTACTGCAGAGGAGAGATTTTTGATACCCCAAAGGCTGCCCGTGTGAGAGAGTTTCAAGTGGGACACTTTATGGATAAGGGTACACAGGGCGGTGGGTCCATCTTCCTGGTCCTTGCGGAGAACTTCTGGCGAGGCAAGGTACGAAGGTGTTGTTGAAGTCACTGCAACTGCTGAGACCTTGCTGTTCATGGACAAATTGTGAATAAGATCATCAACTGATGTCACCGAATCATTCCTGAAGCGGTTATACTTGGTACGTTGAAGCATACCCCTCTATCTGGTTTCCTGCATATGTTCTGGCAAATCTGATGCCAACGCAGGAGATGCCTGTTCTAACATAGCAGGCGATTCATAACAACATGGATGGATAAGATTTTGGGGTATAAAAAAAAAGAAAAGAGTATAAGGAAGAACAAAAAAAAAATCTATTTTTAATTTCTTATGGTTCCCTGTTAAGGTTGAGGGAAGTTACAGTTTTCTATGACAGAGATCCCAGTCCTGCTTAGAGCTGCCAACTCGCTCACAGCAAAAGCATGACTCACACAAATGAGAAGGACCCTTTTCAACAAAAGGCTCAGTGAACACTGCAAATCACTTCCTGTAGAAAAAAAAAAGAAAAAAAAAACCATCCACCCACTTACAGCACAGTAGCACCAATCAATTCTCAAATTTCCTTTTCCTATCTTCTCAAACAGATATTTCCTTCCAACAGATATATTCCTCCTCCCCCCAGCCCCCACCCTTTTGGTACCAGAGCCAATTACCTTTAAAACTGAATTAACAGCCTTTATAAAACACCATACTTTATTCCTCTATTTAAATGTTCTTCCACCTCACGTATTTGTGAATCTATAAAGAAGACACAATTAAATAGCAAACACCTAGATAATATTTACACAAACATAACCCACTTGTTCCCCCAGCAAAACACAGAGACCTTTTAGAATACCTTTAAGTACACAAGTATTTTAAAGACAGATGACAGAACTAAAGAATATATACACTTTCTTCCACAAAAGCAGCCTAACAGACTTTACAAGTGCCTTTGTGTCAATGCTGTCTCTCAGGGAAACTGTTACATTCAATTTTTGATAAAGAAATCCTTCTCATTCGTTACTCCACAACAACATTCTATTTTAATGCAAGAATTACATAAAGTAGCTATGTGTGAAGAAAAGTATTTTTCTGATGTCTGACAACAGGATAATAGATGTTTTTTCTTTCACCACTGATACTCACTCCGAAGGAAAACATGAAGAGGATCTTCAATTCACTGGAATATTTGATTTAATTCTGAAAAACTGAAAAAACCCTAAAAGAATATTCAAAAGTCCAAGTAGCAACAAACTGACATCCTGCCACGAAAAATAAAAAATGCACCACATCTTATTAAGCATAAATGTCAGCCACAAACACTTGATCTGAGAAGTAGCAAAACATGCAGAAACAGATACTTCATTTTTAAAAAAACATACAGAATGAGTACAGCATTGTGATACACAATGCCCATTAAAAGCCATAAGGTTCTTTTCTAATTAACCTTCTTTGCAAAACATTGTTCAGATGTAGGACAATGCACTGCATTATAAACAAATTCAGACCAGAGAAGTTGCATAGTGCAAAGTTATTTTTCAAACAAATTACAAACTGCAGCACAATTTAAAGGAAAAATCCAATGGAATTCCTTTCCTCTCCCGTGACTAAAGGCTGCAGCAAAGTGCAAATACAGTGAAATAGCCAGATCAAATACAAGTACTTAATTAGTATATTCATGACACATCAAATTAAGTCAGCACCTCTTATCCCAGCAGTGATGAGTAATGGCAAAATCCTAGTCAGTGTAAAAGCAGGTTTCTAGTGATCTGCAGAATAGCTTTTCATCACCACACTGCAAACCTGCCACAGCATCCACACAGCATTCATTCCTCTCTTCGTCTTCCTAGCATAGCAACAGCAAATACATGCACCCAGCCTATTTTTACATGTCTCTACTACCCAGAAAACTCTATTGCTCCCAAATGGCTCTCTTCATTAGAAGCGGCTAGCGAAACTGCAAAATGTGAATGAGATTCTGTGCGTGTGAATGAAAGGGCTGGCTAGCATCCCCACATTTCTGTGAATGAAGTGAGGCCTCACAGCCTCTGCCAGTCAATCCCTTGGGTGCTCACCAGCCCAGCCAATACCAGCCGGCTTTGATGACTCATTCAGCAAAGCCTTGCTAAATAGTGGAAGATCCCATTTCTAGCACAGGTGGGGCCTTTTTTTGCAGCAACCCCAGAAAATGA